GGGGGGGGGGGGGAATCATAGGATGAAATGTCATTTATGTAAACCTGAAATCACAAAATATGTTCTCAGATACAAGAATGTGCTTTTAACACCCCATTTATTATGTGAAAGTATAAAAATCTAAAACAAAAAAATGTGCTCCTGAGGACATTTTACTCTTTCATATTAAAACGTAAAGACCTGTCCTGGCCAAGTAGCTCAGCTAGTTAGTGTCCTCCCCATATGCTAAGTTTATGGGTTGGATACTCAGGACACATACAAGATTCAACCAACAAATCAATCTCTCTCTCAAAAATTTAAAAAGATCCTACCAAACTGATTTACAACCCTGAAATAGTAATGAAAATAAGGGGAATTTCATTTTTGTTGCTTACTAAACCCGAAGCAAATATGACGAGTCATAACAGTTAACCTTCTGATAAGTTATATGGTTTTGTTTTTTTAAGATTTTTAATTGATTTTTAGAGAGTGGGAGGAAGGGAGGGGGAGAAACATTGATGTGAGAGCAAAACATTGATTGGCTGTCTCCTGCATGCCCCCTACCAGGGATCCAGTCTGCAACATGGGCATGTGCCCTGACCTGGAATCAAACCAGCAACATTTTGGTGCACAAGACACCACCCGACCAACTGAGCTACACTGGCCAGGGTTAGTTATGTGTATTTTTTTTTTAAGCCTCATCCAAGGATATATTTTTTTTTCCACTGCTTTTCAGAGAGTGGAAGGGAGGGAGAGAGAGAAACATCAGTGTAAGAGAGACACACTGATTGGTTGCCTCTTACACACTCCCCGACTGGGCCCTGGGATAGAACCTACAACCAAGGTACTTGCCCTTGGCCATAATCAAACCCAGGACTTTCAGTCCACTGGCTGACACTCTAAGCACCGAGCCAAACTGACTAGGGCAGTTGTGTATACTTTCAAAGTCTCTCAGTAAAACCAAAACTCCAAGCAAATCAGCTCAAACAAAACTGGAGGCCACAATGAAAACACTCCTGGCCTTCAGTGAAGGGTTGCTGAGTACTAACGACCACCGGCCAACCTTGCCTTCTCAGCTGGAATGGTGATCTAAAGATAAATTTAGAGACAAGGCAGAGTCATGGAGGTCACCCCAATGGTTGGAGTCAGAGACCACCCTCCCCACCCCCTTCCAAGAGGCATCAGAGCAGCTGATTGGTGAAAATCTCAATCCCTGATTTGCATAGGGCCTGGGCCAGCGTCTCAACAGAGGTTCAGTGGTAGTGGTGGTGGTGGCGGTGGTAGAAGGTGGCCTACACTCCAGTCTGCTCAGGGCACAGTTCCTTTCCATACAGCTGTTGGGACAGCATTTTGTGGGGTCTTGTCTCCTGGATGCCCCAAAGTGTTAAAAGCAGACTAGCCCTGGTGCTTCTGGAGATTCATTGGTTCTTCCCCCAGGATCCCTGGGAAGGCCCTCTCCTGGCACACCACAGCCTCATGTGGGGCACACGTGCATGCACACACAAATGCTTATTAACTGCCAGGTTGACATGTGATTAATGCCTGTGGCTCCTTGCCTAGCAGGGCAGGGCATGTAGTAAATGCTCACATTCATCTAACAAATATTTGCATACCTACCGTTAACACTGAGAGAACAAAACAGTGAAAAAGAGGTCTCTGCTTTCATAGAATTAATGATCTGGGTGGATAGAGGGACAATAGATAACTACCCCAAATAAATATCTAACTATAAAGCGATTCAGTGCCAAGAAGGGGCCTGCAGAGCAAATCACAGGGGCTCTGACCAGGCTAGGGCAGGCAGATGGTCAGCTCCCACCTTCACCCCAAGCCCAAGTCATCCCTCTCTGCTCTGCTCTACCCACAGGCTGGGGATCTGCAGAGGACTCGGAGGGCTGTGACTGGGATTTCTCCTTACCCAGGCTCTATGCTCCCTGTGTAACGACAGGGTCTTGGCCTCTGTACCCCGTCCTCCCCCCAGTCCCTTGTGTTTGGCAGGCAGTCAGGCTGGTTTTAAGCTAAAGGATTTGGACAACTTCCAAGACTGAGAGAAAAGAGACTCAACAAAAAAAACCCCACCAAGCCTTTTTACTGTTTCCAAAAAAGCAGTTTTGTCCAGAAAAAGCCCAAAATAGTAAGATTCAAAACTCCCCCAACCAGTAGGAGCATTTTCTGGAATGTAGACAGTTTATCAAATATAATTTATTCAGAAAAAAATACATGTTAAGAACTTAATTCCAAAAGACTGAAAGAACCCAAAGGCTGAACAGAAAACAGCCTTTTGCTAGCAGCACCAGGTCAGGTGCTGAGAACTGCCAGCAGGGTCAGGCTTTGAGGGAAGGCTCCACCAGTCCTACTAAGAAAGGGTTACAGGCATAATGAACCCCTAAGAGTTGATGGAGGTGGACCCTCCCCTTCCCAGCTGTCCATATCTCCACTGTGAATTCCTGGTCACAGCCAGGATAGCCACTCCCCCACGAACCCACAACTGTTAACTAATACTATGCTACCTCCTCCCAAAACAAGTCTATATACACACAATGCAAGAATCTGTTATCAGCAACAGTATTTAGTGCAGCAAACCATGACCTTGGTCTCTCAAAGTCCTGCTTTACTGGCTGTGAGGGCGCTTGGCCACTGGCTCCTCCTCCTTCTCCTGTTTGAGCCACTGCTCCAGGAGTCTAGCACCACCTCTCTTGGTAGGAAATGGGCTCTTTTGCAGGAACTGGCTGGACCACTGGGGCACATCTGATTCTGCCTTTTGGGGTATTTTGGGGTCTTCCTTTTTGGGTGACTTTGTGGTAAGCCACTGCAACATCATCTGGCTGCTGCCACTTGCCTTGAGTTCCTAGGAAAAAGATAAAAAAACTCAAAACTGTTCAACTCAAGCTTCTGGGGAAAGGACAACTCCAAGGGAAAAAATAGGGGAAGAGGCATGAGGTACTGACCCAGATTTATAAAATGTTACTAAGGGCCAGACAGCACCCACTAGTCAGGAGTAGGAAGAGAGGAGCGACTGAGTATGCTCCAAGAGGTGTAAGGGGTAGAGAGTAGCTCTTTAGAGAGGGCTTCATGGAGGTGTGCGGGGCCATTCAAAGAGCACTGACAGACATTCAAACATGCAGAGAATGAAGCATTCTCAGGGAAAAGAATGTAATGTAGCGAGATTAGGCAGAGTTGGGAAATGAAGCTGGGTAGATATCGCTTTAAATAGCCTCCATGAGTAGGGATTCAGCCTAAGGCTGAACAGGCTGTTTCCCTCCTTGCCCAGCACTGCTCTTCTGCTTCCCTTACCTCTACCCCATCCCTGAATTGAAGGTTCTGAGTTCACATAATGCTACCTCTCCAGAATGTGAATTCTGGAGTAAAGACCATGGCAGAAACAGGGCAGTGCCTGGTGCAAAATGAATCATTTTTAGAGACATCTAATAAAAAAAAAAGTATCAGGGTTTCAGGAGTTTGCAGAGAATTAAGACAAAAGAAAAAAGGTGACACTGACTGTGGGTATGGAAAACGTTAAAAACTTAAAGAAAAATGGGGGGTAGCTGCTCTTGCAATCATTGTCCTTAACACTTCTTGGGCATTCTAGAAGCCTATTCTTGGAACACTCACAACCATGTCCTACTTCAGATCCCTCTATGCCACCTAAAAACAGTTGCGACTCCTAAGCCTTTATCCCCAAATGTCAGTGGGGGCTGGTTTTTTGCTTTGGAGCTCCCTTCCCCACTGCAGGCCATTTGCTTGTTCAACTTTCCTTCAAAATACACCTTCAGGATCCTGACCAATTCTAAGAAGTTAAAGCTTATAGCAGGAATGTTCTCAAATAGTCCTGAAGGGGAACAAGGATTAAAACTCCTCCAACTTGTGGTTGGGAAAGCAGACGTACAGCAAAAAGATACCAGAAATCACTTGGTTATGGACAGAGATACAATTATGGTCAAAGGCTCCTTTGTCTTTCTCACAACACCATCTAGAGAAAGAGCCCTCAAATTTAGCTTATTACCACACTCACCGAAGAGATTCTCAATGATACAGAAGTCCAAGCTCAGTCCTAAACAGTGACTGACTCAGTAGGTCCAGATAGGGCCTAGCATTTAAGTTTTGAAAGAGCCCTCCTGAGGAGTCTGAATTACAGCCAGCTCTGAATCACTGCTCTGCTCACCCTTGCCATGAATAAGGAATATGAGTTTTGGGTGGTTTAAAGCCATATCCTAAAAGAAAATGCTAAACTGACAGAAGACAGAAAGCTCAAAAAGAACTGTCAGAGTCACAGACCCCCTACCTTTTTGACCTGTAAGTCGACAGGAGCCAGACACTCAGGAGTGTTGTTTCGGGAGTTGTTCACCACGGGAGAGACAGGATGGAAAGTGATGTTTTCTGTGGGATGGATTAACTTCAGAGCTTCCTGAGTTGAGACCTCACCAAAGTCAAGCCATTTAGAAACTGCTTCCTCTCCATCTAAAATGGCAGGCATCCTAGCCAGTGAGGTTAAGACATTGGTTAGAAGAGGCAGAGTGAGGGTAGGGAGAGAAGGGAGAGAGACTTGAGTTAGTTGAGAGCACAAATCATCACAAGGAGAAGCTCGCCCTCCCCCTGTGACTCACATGCTGATTGTTGCCATGTGCTCCCTGACCACAACTTGACAGGGCATGAAATTCAACACTAGGAGGACCAGCTTATAAAATTTTATGGCAAAGACAATGAATAGTAATTATGACTGGACCCAGTGCACCCCAGTGTACACATTAGCAAACTAGTGACTTTTCTATGATGCCCCAGCCTAGAATTAAAGGAGAAATAGATCATGGAAAACTTGTCTATCAACAATAATCTCCAAACTTACAATCTATGATAGATTTACAGTAAAAAAGACCTATTCACATAATTGTGAACAAAAGGAAATGCCTCAGAAAGCAGAGAGGCTAAGAGTCATGATTCCTGGTACCCAGGAAGATGTTAGGAAAAGATCCTTTGTTTAACTTCCACTTTTATGCCCTAGGCAAATGCAAAGCACGGTACACACATCATTGGTGGGTGGGGCAGTTGATTTTAGGAGATAAGTGCATAAACATCTATTTTAATAATTATTCTCACTTCAACAGATCAAACTTACTTTAAAAATATATACTTTTAAAGTTTTTGTTCTTTTTTCACTTAGCACAATACCTTCTAAGCCCATCCATATGGACTTATGATCTCACTTATGTAAAAAAATACTTCAATTTTGCCCGGCCTGGCATGGCTCAGTGGTTGAGCATTGACCTAGGATCCAGGCAGATCTCGGTTCAATTCCCAGTCAGGGCACATGCCCGGATTGCAGGCTCAGTCCCCAGCTGGGGGCATGCAGGAAGCACCTGATCAATGACGACTCCCTCATCATTGATGTTTCTATCTCTTCCTCTCCCTTCCCCTCTCTGAAATCAATAGATTTAAAAAAAAAACACAAAAAAACCCTTCAATTTGATATAATATACATGTATATGTATATTATAAATGTATGTCTCAACGGAACATATTTCAAATGGAGGAAAAACATGCCCAGGATTTAAGCCACAAAAGATCGTAAATTTTGCATAATCTTCCTTCTGCCTTTTCACAACTTATAAACTGCAACTCTTCTGAAAATTCATTTCCACAGGCAAACTTTGGGGTTTTTTTAAAATATGCTTTTATTGATTTTAGAGAGAGGAAGGGAGAAAGAGAGAGAGAAACATCAATTGGCTGCCTTCTGCATGCCCCCTACTGGGGGTCAAGCCTGCAACCCAGGTATGTGCCCTGACTGGGAATCGAACCACTGACCTCCTGGTTCATGGGTCCAGACTCAACCATAAAGCCACATCGGTTGGGCAAACTTTGGGTTTTTTTAAGGTAAGTGAACATATTTATTGTAGTATTTATGTATTTCTTAACCACCTAATGTACATAACTGTGGTGGTTTTTAATAGAGTTCTAATTTTTTTAATGTGTCACTGGCAAAGTTTTTAAATGTAATTTTTTTTTTTTTTTAATATATCTTTATTGATTTCAGAGAGGAAAGGAGAGGGAAAGAGAGAGATAGAAACATCAGTGATGAGAGAGTCATTGATTGGCTGCCTCCTGGGGATAGAACCCGCAACCTGGGCATGTGCCCTGACCGGGAATCGAACCCCAATCGTCTGGATCCTAGGTTGATGCTCACCCGCTGAGCCACGCCCGGCCGGGCTAAGTGTAGTCTTCTTAACTCCACTTTTCCCATAAGGTTTGTGGTTTCCATTGTACAATTTTTCATAATGTGGTGATTTTTAGGAATGCATGTCATGTTATAGCCAAACTGACTGTAACAGCATTTTATGAAGCAACTGTCTTAGTTTTCTACTGTCTAAATTTATGCATAGAGACTTTAAATTCCAGAAGCTATCTATCTAAAAGCAAAGAGAACAAACCCTCCCCTGAATCCTTTTGGACCCAAGGATAAGAAATATGACTTGCCTATGGTGGATGTCATTTAAGCCTTTGCAGGAATCCACTGTGATGATGCTGTAGGAATACAGGCAGTCTCCTCCCTCTGGTGGCTCCCAGCAGTCAAAGATCCCTGCCATTGTTAGTAGCCTCCAGTTGTCCCAAACTTTCTCCCAGTCCTCAGGATTATTTGCAGCACCAATGCTGCCAGACTGGAAGCAAAATACATGGGCAGATTAGATACTCAGCGGCCTTCTTCTATGCAAGTTGGGTACTACTACAGACTTAAGAGCATTGCAATCATTTTAGAAGTAATTTAGCCCATACCTTATTAAGTTCTCTTTCAAAGGAAAGAGGATTGATGGTAAATACCCACCACAGCTATAGATTTATGGCTATTTCAATGCTTTCAGAATACAATTTAATACCTTCACCAGGCATTCAGGCCTTCTATGATCTGGCCCATCATTCCAGCTTTCACTTAATGTTAACCTGAACCAAACCAAGCTGAATGTAAATGAAGCTATCATGCAGTTTCGTTCCCACTGTCTTGCTCAAACTACCTTCCTTGCCCGAAGTGTACTTCCCACCCTTTCTTATCATGCCACCTCCTACTTGCCATTTAAGATTCAGTGTAAGCAACCCAAGGACATGGACAATGATGGGGAGAGGGACTGGGGAGGGGGAAGGAACGGGGTGGAATGGGTCATTGGGGAGAAAAAAGGACATCTGTAATATTTTAAACAAAACAAAACAAAAAAAAAGATTCAGTGCAAGGCCTAGAATACAGAAAGCCAGAAAGGTGTCACTTTCGTCTTAAACAATTAAGAAAATAAGCTAGGCCGTCTATCAAATCATAAGTTTTCTTAAATCCATTAGAAAGCTGAGGTCACAGAGCAACCAATTAGTCTAAACTTCATAGAAAGACAGGGGCCTCCATGGGGAGATGAGATATAAGCACTGCTTACCAGTGGCAACAGGAGGAAGGCAAGTCCTTCATACAGCATATAAGAATTCAGATAAAATTATTATCAAATTACTATATGCAGAGTGTGGGCTAGCCGAAGAGTACAGAATCCCTGGAGGCTACAGACATCAGAGTGTTTGCATCAGTTTGCATATTCTTCTCCACAGACCTCCCAGGGTGCTCACAGGAAAGACTGGGGGCAGGGCAGGAGACTGGAGAAAGCCTTCCTTGCTAGCGTATGCCTGAAGGAGGGGAGCTCTCTTGCTTCAGGAAAGGCATGAAGCTTCACCTGATCACTTTTCCTCTAAGAAATAAAAGCTTTAAGGGATCAGGGGAAGAGTAATAAACCCTATCACCTCTAAGATACAGGTAAAGACTCATCGAAGCTAGTAAAGAGTAAAAGAAAAAAACCCTCTACTCCCCTTGGGAGGGAACAAGATCACTGAAAAAGGCTGAGCCTGAGAGCTAGTGGTACAGTTCAGCATAAGACTGAGACTCAATGAAGACAACAGAGAACATGCTGTACTCCCCCCCTTCAGATTAATGGCACCAAGTGACAAGTAACAGCAGTCTAATTCTGGATAAGGGGCAAGAGCATGGGAAGGTCCTCTCTACGGCAGAGGCTCAAAGGGCAATACTACAAGTGAAGGGAGCAGGGGTACTGAGAAAAACCCTCCAGAAAATCAACACTTACTCTAAACACAAGGTCACATCAGAGAAATTTAAAACCAGTGGTGAACAAAGGTAATCATAACAACTGTTAGGTGGGGCAGGTATAGAAATCCAGGCATAAAAACTCAGGTACAGAAACACATCAGGGCAGGAAGCCCCGAATGCCTATCAAGGGGCAAAACTGGGAAAACAAGAACTTTGTCCCCAGGGTAACCTCTCCTCCCCTAGCATGTCACTGGTCTTACAGTTTAGATCTCCTAAGCATTCCTCCCTAAAGATAACATCTAGGCATCAGTTGTACTTCAGCTCCAGGCCCAGATAAGCAGCAAAATCAGACAAGTGGTGCTATAGCTGACTCAGGACCAGATACACTGACTAATGACCCCCTTCCCTGGCACCAACCAATCAGTGGAGACCATGACTCTCAAAGGGTGCACCTGGAAGGCTGATGAATATTCTATTAAGACCCTCCCCTGAGACCTCTCCTAAGACTCCCACCTGCAAGAAAGAGATAAATATGCTCAGGACAAAGGACCCAGTGCGGTGGGGAACACACCAGTGCCATCTCCAGCCCTCTGAGGGGACCCCACAAGACTTGCAAGCAGGGGAGCAATGGGCAGTGGCAGCTCCTCCTGGGCTTATCCCCCTGAACCTGTCTTCAAGGCCTACTTCTCTCTCTCTGACTTCTCAGTGAGCCAAAGCAGCCCAGCCTAGGTTCTCCTGTTGATTATTCTATGCTCTTTCTTGTTTCACTGTCCCAAGTATAGTTTTCTGCCATTATGGACCCAATACTTTTGGCTCAGTGCTGTGTAGCCCTTCCCCTTGGGTATCCCCATCCCCTTTAAATAAATTTAATTTTTCTTTATTTGCCCATTTGAGATGGCTATTTAGTATATTTAAAGTTGTGCAACCATCACCACTATCTGATTTTTAGAAAATATTTATCATCCCCAAAAGAAACCCAATATCCATTAGCAGTTACTCTTCATTCCCTACTTCTCCAGCCCTGGAAACCACTAATCTACTTTCTGTCTCTATTGATTTGCCTATTTGGGACATTTCATATACATACATGGGATCATACAATATGTGGTCTTCTGTGTCTGGCTTCTTTTACTAAGCATATTGACTTCCATAATTTAAAAAGGTCAATTATACCTCAATAAAGTTATTATTTAAAAAAACTCCATGAGGGCCCTGTCTGGGTAGCTCAGTTGGTTAGAGCGTCATCCTGGTACACCAAGGTTGCAGGTTTAATCCCGTCAGGGCATATACAGTAGTCAACCAACGAATGCATAAATAAGTGGAACAATAAATCTATGTTTCTCTCTCTCTAAAAATCAATTAAAAAAAAACTCTATGAGGGAAGGAAAAAATGCCCTTCTTTGGATTAGTTCTCTGTATTTGAGTAAATTTACTGATGATACCTTTTCTGTTTTGATTTGGGGAAAGTAGATGAAGTATGGCTGCCTCTGGTTTCCCTGACATCGCTGCCACTCATAGAATCCATCTGCTAGAACAACACAGCGTCTTCCCTTTCCAAGAGGCACCTGAGGGAAAATGAGAGCAAGACATAGTCTTAGTTTTAGAATTAAGTTTCATGGACTTGGGTTAAAATCTTAGATCTGCCAATGTGTGACCTTAAGAGCAGTTATTTAATTTTCTCTGTACCTCAGTTTTCATATGTATAAAGTCACTATTCAACAGATGTTGAAAAGATTAAATAATGTAAGCAAAAGCAACAGCTCTCTAACAAATAGGCACTTGTGGTAGCTAGTCTCCAAAGTTGGCTTCTCAATGAGCCATGCATCCCAGTATTCACAACCATGTAGTTCCCTCCTACACTGATTTTGCGCTGGGCCAATAGAATGCTATAGAAGTGATGTTGTATGACTTCCAAGGTTAGGTCACAAAACCTTGCAGTTTCTTCCCTGGTGTCTTGCATGAGCTTTGGGTAAGCCAGATACTATGTAAGAAGCCTGACTACCCTGACAACCCCCAGCTACGCACCTGGAAAAGTTTCCAGTTGTTCTACCCATCCCAGCTGGGGTGTCAGACAAGTGGGTGAAGAAGCCATCTTAGACATCCAGTCCCAGTTGTCATCTGATTATAACTACACAACAATCTCCAAGTGAAACTGTCCATTTGAGCCCAGTCAACCCACTGAATATAAGAAATAATACAAATAGGTGATTTGTTTTAAACCACCACCATGGTTTGTTACACAGTAATAAATAAAACAGTACTCAACACTTTGGGACTTTTAAGGGAGGTTCCAAAGAAAACCTTATTTTATTTTTCTGGCATATAAGGCACATATAGCTCTGTTCATAAAAAGAACAGAATATGTACCTTTTCCCTAGATAAGCTACCTACCTTGAAGGACCGTTTCTCCATTATGGTATCACTACGACAGTTGCTAGTGTTGAACTGCAGCTTGGAAGGATCACCTTCTTTGAACCAAGATGGAACCAAGCCCCATCGCATAGGAGCAATGATACGCTCAGATGAGTCTGCACCCTGCCATGGAAAAAGGTTAAGATCCAGTGAGGAGATCATAATGAAGTTTTTAAAATCAAGTTTAGCACATGCATTATATTACTAGTAGTACCAAAATACAAAGAATAGATTATTATTAAAAAGGAAAGATTCTATCTGAAAATAATTTTAGTGATTTATCATGATGTAACTTGTGTTCTTTAGCAATCTTTTTTTTTTAATCCGCACCCGAGGATATTTTTTCCACTGCTTTTCAGAGAGTGGAAGGGAGAGAAAGAAAGAGTGAGAAACATCGATGTGAGAGAGACACATCCTTACATTAATTGGTTGCCTCCCACACATGCTGACTGGGGATCAAGCCTGTGACTGAGGTACATGCATTGGCCGAAATCGAACCCAGGAACCCTTCAGTGCTCGGGCTGATGCTGTAACCATTGTGCAAAGCTACCTAGGGCAGCAATCATGTTGATTGGAATGTAAGACATTCTGCTTGGGTAGAGTAGGGGATATGAAGAGTTTCGGTTCCTGCAAACATTTAATTAGTGCTTACTAAGGAAGGTGCTTAGTTTGTCCCCTCACGAGAAGAAAACATAAGGAGGCACGTATGCAAAATTTCCAGGTTTCTACTTGGGTCTTTTTCCCTTAGTGATTCTATTGTGTATCCTTTCACTGTTATAAGGCATAGTCACTATATATCTTATATGTTGAGTCCTCCTAATGACTCTCCAAATGTGAGGGTAGTCTTGGGGTCCCCCAACACACGGTTGTTAAATTTTTTTGCATTTGGCCCTTGAGAATTTGATGAAATCTACATATTAAAATTCACATACACACTATTCTGCATGGCACAGTATGCTACAGGTTGGAAGAAGCCAGTGGTAGAGAGTGCATAATGGATGCTACCACAATAGTTCAGGGGTCTGATGGTAAGGATACAGTAGCTCTGGTAACAGTAGTGAGAATAAAAGACATCCAAAAGACAGAAAAATGAAATTGTGGTGCAAGTGGAAAAAGAAAACAGGAATGATTAAATTTTCAGGCCCAAAAGACTGAAATAATGATGCACTATGGAACAAAAAATCTTAAGAAGGGTTTGATTTGGGGAAAGATCACATGTTGAATTTCTGATAACAGTGGGAAGTCTGTGGCAGTTTAAAGAAATGGTTGAAAAATCTTTACCATTTTCCCCCTTGAGAGCTGGGATCTGTGTTCTCTTCCCTTGAATTTGAATGGACTCACAGAATCTGGCACAAGCGACACTATGATTTCTAAGGCTAAATCAGAAAAGGTTTTTCAGCTTCCTTCTTATTTGCTGAGACATTGCTTTTGGAACTCCGAGCTGCCATGCAAGAAATTCAACTATCCTAAGATTGCCATGCTGTGAAAAAGCCCAGGCTGTGTAGAGAGACCACATGTAGGTACTCTGGCTAACAGCCGAGGTTAAGACCCAACATCAACTGTCAGACAAGTCACTAAAGATGCCTCTAGATCAGATGTTTGCAAACTTTTTAAAATAAAATGCCAGATACTAAATACTTGTCAGGCCATACAGTCTCTGCTGCAACTGTAACTACTGTTACAGGGACAAAGCATCCATAGGTGATAAATGGATACTTCTGTATTCCATAGAATTTCATTAAAAAAATGGTCAGTGGCCCCTAGTTTTCTGACTCCTGCTCTAGATGATTCTAGCCCCAGATGTCAAGTCTTTTCAGCTGAGACCCCAGACTTCAGGGAAGAGACAAACCATTATCTGCAATGTTTTGTCTTAATTCCTCAGTGGTGAACATAATAAAGGTTATTTAGTCCCTGGCTGAGTAGCTCAGTTGTTTAGAGTGTTGTACCGATATGCCAAGGTTACAGGTCCAATCCCTGATCAGGGCACATACAAGAAGCAACCGATAAATGCATAAATAAGTGGAACAACAAATCGATGTTTCTCTCTCTCAAATCAATTTTTAAAAATAATTAAAAATTATTTTAAGTCACTAGAATAAAGTCCAAATAGTGCTGTTTACTATGTCCAAAAAGCACGTGTAATTAAAACTTAGGAGGCAGCATGGTAGAGAGAATGGGTTACAAAACGTTTTCTGTAATGCGCCACATATTAAATATTTTTGGCTTTGTGAGTCTATATCGTCTGTTGCAATGACTCAAGCAACTGAACTGTCACCACTGGTAGTGTGAAAATAGCCAAAGAACAAACAAATGATAGTGGCTGTGTTCTAATAAAACTTTATTTGCAAAAACATAGTGAGCCAGATTTAGTCTGAGGACCACAGTTTGCAAACCTCAGGTACAGAGTTAAAAATAAGGCCTTTGTAAGACTCTGATTTAAAAACCTCTTCACTGCTACTTAGGAAGTTGGACTAGTTTCAACTTTGTGGACCCTCAACTTTCCTTTTCTGTCAAAATAAAGCAAACAATGCCCAGCCGGTGTGGCTCAGAGGTTGAGCATCAGCACATATATGACCCAGGAGACAGAGGCTTGATTCCCGGTCAGGGCACATGCTCGGGTTGCAAGGCTTGATCCCCAGTAGGGGGTGTGCTGGAGGTAGCCAATCAATGACTCTCATCATTGATGTTTCTCTCTCTCTCCCCCCCTCCTTTCCACTCTCTGAAATCAATAAAGATTTTTTTTTAAAAAAGAGTGAACAATACCTACCTTGCGGAATCATTAAAATATGTGGCATGGAATACACATACAAGTTGTAATTCAGTATTTTTCTTTAGGTTAGAATTATAAAGGTGACTGTTAAAGCCATTAGCATAAAGTTTCTTAGGGAGTAAATCAAGCACAGGATTTAACCTGGGGGGTACAAAAAAAGAAAAGGAAAAACAAGGGAAAAGTAGAGTCCAAGAAAAAGTACCTAGAAAAAAAAAGTAGAAATGAGAAAAGTCAAGAAAGGAATCATCAGCAGTAGTGTCTCAGAAAGGCTTCCCTTTTATTTAAAGCTAATCCTTCCACTATGTTCTTGATAAGATCCTGTCTTCTTTCTTTCAAAATCTTGTCTGTACAATCCCCTTTTTCTACACACACAGGCCCATTCTCATTATTCACCACAGGTTCTACAATGTTGCTGCAAACACTGAATTAGTGAACACTGAACTGCTGCTCATAGGGGAAATGCAGGGCCTGTGTCCCATGAGCCTATGGTGACATTTTCATCAACTGATTAGTATGTCACCTTGTTTTATGTGTATTTCTGTTTAAAGACACTTTATTTCATATGTACTGTTGATTCATTAATGTTGAATTCATGAGCAACAGCATGGTAACTTATGCTGGAATGAAGCTTATCTAACACATGTATTTTCTCTGTAAGGCACACTATAACCTTCTTACACTTAGGAATACTAGCCAGCAAGCACTCCAGGACTATGCTTGGGACAGTTTTAAACAGTGAAATCACAAATGCATAAATCGTAACACTAAATAGACTGCAAAAAGGACACTTGTTTATAGTATAAGAGCTGGAACAAGAAGATAGAGATTCTTTATTTTTGGTTTTTTAAGAGCTTTGTTTTATTCAATCAGGTGACTCAAATTTTCACCACCTGTATTGTCCACAAACATGGACAAGAGTAACATGGGTATATTTTGAGGGTTACAAATACATTTTAACAAGTAGGCAAATTTACAAACACAGAATCTATAAATGAGGACCAACTGTGCGTGTGTGTTTTTCCCCCTTAAAGACAGAGGCAGCCTAGGTATATTGTGTGGACCCCAAGAAAGAAGATACCTACTAAGAAGGGCTCCCAGTGGCTAATTGAGCTCAAATTTAAAAAACAGAGTCTAGTAGCCATTTCTATACAAGAGCCTCTCACTCAAACTTCACTTGAGGGAGAAACCTGCACTAAGCTGCCTTCCTCCTGCACTGAACTCCCTACCTGCACTGTTTCTGCCCTCTGAGCCAATCCTTATAAAGGAGTTCCTCCTATTTCAACCAATAGGACTGAGGATTTCCTCATCCAATCAGGGTTGTGCAGCTATATCCCCCATCAGCTTCTTCACTGCCTAATCAGAGCAGTTCCATTCTAACCAATCAGGACAGTATCTTTTGGACCAACTGATCTTGGAAGACTTGGCATCCTTATTTGCATGAAGATAGACCAATCAGGGACTAGGAGCCAGGACTTCTGTCTACATTGAGTTAGCTCCCCTCTGGCTCTGAGAGCACTTTCCCTTTCCATCAAAGACTGAAGACTGTGTTTCCCTGCCTGGAGCTGAAACACCTCCCTGTCTAGAGCAGAAACACCAAACATGAAACACTGAAGATCTCTTGCTGGAGCAGACCAGTGAAGACAGAACAGAGCTGTCCAGCTGCAGAGGAGCCTGGCCCCAGGGCCACCAAACAGCCATTCGTTTTCACTGCTGTGCTGAGTCATAGTTGAGCTGTTTGTACTGAATCAAGTTTCCTTCTTCCCCCACTCCAAATTGGGGATTCCTGTTTGTGTTTAATTGACATCAACAACATTTGGTTGACAATTCTATGCCAAAAGAAAGAACACACACAAAAACAGTAAGTGTGCAGGATAACTAAAAAAAGAAAACCCTGGAAGAAATGGTAGGGCAGAGGACATAAACTCAAGTGTTAACTCTCATCAGGGAGAGGAAGAAGAAAAAATATGTGGAAACACAGAACCTTTATAAACCTAACCCTAACCCTAACCCTCTCTTCCAGAATCAAACGTGCCTTCCAAGCAGAAGGGACCCCTGCTTAAAGCAGAAATGAGAATAAGAAAGATAACATTATATTTGGCCAACTAAATGATGTCTCATCAGAAATTTGCAAGACAATACTCTTACATCTGAGGTTCTCAACATGGGGCAATTCTGACATCCTCCCCCCAACCAAAACCTGATGCAGGTGGGGAGGGTGATGTGCAACATCTAGTGGGTATATCTGGCAACATCAGTCGTTGTTTTTGGTTGTTAGGACCTGGGTGATACAAATGGCATCTAATGGGTAGAGGAGAGTAATATAAACATGTTACAATGCACAGGACAGCTTCTCACAACAAAGAATTATCCCACACAAAATGTGAATAGTGCTGAGGATGGGAAATCTTACTCTTAAAAAATTCCAGTGGTCACCTTTAACTTGAGTGTGTTCACTGGACAACTGTAAATCACACCCAAACATGAGGGTTCGCTCTACTGGGAAAAATGAATAAGAAGTGGCAGCAGCCCAGCCGCTGTGGCTCAGTGGTTGGGCACTGACTCACAGACCTGGTGGTCACAGTTCGATTCCTGGTCAGGGCACATGCCTGGCTTTTGGGCTTGATCCCTGGTAGGGGGCGTGCAGGAGGCAGCCAATCAATGTTTCTGCCTCTCTCTACCTCTCCCTTCCTCTCTCTGAAATCAATAAAAACATTAAAGAAAAAAAAGTGGCTGCAAAGCCAAAATACTGAAAATATTGCTCAATATTAGTCATCTTTTCCCCTACCTTTTTGGACTTATGACTAGAACAGCTAGTAGCTATGAGGGAGACAAATGAAAGAGGAAGTAATTTGCAAACCAGTGGTTTCAAATGTAAATGTTGCAGTCTATACATATGTGCTGGCCGTTAATTATATGGATTAAATTAACTGCCGAAATGGTTCTAATTTTGCTTTACAGTTTACGTGTTTGATAAAAATAAAACCTCAACTATTTATCAAAATTAGGGAACCATAGCAATCTTAATAAAATTTATTAAAGATGTGGGGTCAAAACACTACCATCAATCAGCAAATTCATACCGCTGACAGAAAAAGAGGGCTATACTTGCTAGGGTCTCCACCTCCCTCATTCCTAGTTCCAGGAAGCATCTACTAGAGCAGGGACAGTGGTCTGGACCTCAGTCCCAGTTCTATCCATCACTGATTGGGTAACCTAGGACAAGTCACAATCTTTCTACACTTCTGCCTTTTCATCTGTTTAACAAATTTTTCTTCCAGCTAACAATCATTCTATAATTCTAAAGAGGTAGTACAATAAGAACCAAAGCTAAAAAAGAGTAAGTCCCATACACTTAATTCTTCTCTTTTCACTTCAAATTATACCTTCTTTTAAAACATGTTTTATTGTCTCCTTTCCAAGTCAAGGTTCCCCTTGATATTCATTTTATTTTCATTATCCTCTCATTTAAAAAAGCTTTCTTGCCCAGCCGGGCGTGGCTCAGCGGTTGTGCTTTGGCCTAGGATCCAGGTGATCGGGGTTCGATTCCCGGTTAGGGCACATGCCCAGGTTGCGGGCTGCAGCCGATTAATGACTCTCTCATCACTGATGTTTCTATCTCTCCCTCTCCCTCTCCTTTTGTCTCTCTGAAATCAATAAAGATATATTAAAAAAAAAAGAAAAAAAAAAAAGGCTTTCTTAAATGGCTCAAGAATAAACTATTTTATATAAATGGTTTCATTCAACCAAAAAGATCAATGTTATTAGGTTTGTTTATTTCAAAATAATGTGATCCCTGTAATGTAGAAATGAGTCTTTTTTTGCTACCATATTTTCACAAGAGTTCTAAAGATTATGTAGCAATGGTATAATCAGCTTTATAAAGTGATTTAAGCATTATGGTTCAAAGAGAAAATCCAGCATGGAAATAATCATGTTTTTAAAAATATATCATAGATATTTAATATTTGAATTTTAAAAAAAAGACATGGAGAAACTATTAACTTCTAGAATGAAGTTATTCATTCATCCAGAATGAAGTTATTTATTACAACCATGTTTATAATAAAAATAAAGCAAAGAACCAAAACATGATTATAAATTATTGGTCACTCCAACACTATAATCGGTGAATACTATAAACACAATGAATGCAATTAAACTTCAAATAACCAAACCAAATACATCTATTTCTAGCTTCAGTAAAAGATAAACATAAAAAAATTGAAAAACAAAAAGAATAGAAACTTCAATGTTCAAGAAACATCAGAGATGTTTTAGATTAGCTAGTCTTAATCCTGCTTTAGGCCTAGAGAGTCTGATTCAGCATGACTGGTAAAGGGCATGGAAATCTTACTATTATTTTTTTTTAAAAAGTTTTTTAAATCCTTATCTACAGATATGTTTATTGATTTTAGAGAGAGAGGAAGAGAGGTATGGAGAGGGAGGGGGAGGGAGAGGAGAGGAAGGGAGCGAGAAAGAGAGAGAACAAACACTGATGTGAGAGAGAAACATTGATGTGAGAGAGACACATTTATCAGTTGCCTGCCATAAGTGCCCCTACCAGGGATTGAACCCTCAACCTAGGTCCGTGCCCTGACTGGGAGTGGAACCTGCAACCTTTCCGGTGTATGGGACGATGCTCCAACTGAGTCACTTGGCCAGGTGTGAGTATTTTTTTAAAGATACTCAAATGACCCTGATGATCAGTGTAGTTGGAAAGATGCTGTCTTAAAAAAAGTATCCAAATACAAGGCCGATATAAATTTGACATGCATTAAGGGTAGTATGCCTTGTATAAAGAAGACACTTAAATTGAGCCTGAAGAATATGAATTACCTCGAAAGATTAAAAGATACCAATAAAAGTACCTGCAGTGGGGCCCAGAGTAGTTCTCAACTGGGGGTCAAATAAAGGCTGGTGTGTTTTTTTTAACATGTCTTTACTGATTTGAGAGAGAGGGAGATAGAAACATGAATGATGAGAATCATTGATCGTCTGCCTCCTGCATGCCCCCTGCTGGGGATGGAGCCCGAAACCTGGGCACATGCCCTGACCAGGAATCAAAAGTCCATCTCCTGGATCACAGGTCCATGCTCAACGGCTGAGCCACGCTGACAGGGCTAAAGCTGGTTTTTAAATGTCATCTCAGGCTGAGCATACACCAAACCAAATACAGTTGACCCTGAACACGGGTTTGAACTGCATGGGTCCACTTATATGCAGATTTTTTCAATAAATACTGTAAATGTACTTTCTTTATGATTTTCTTAATATTTTATTTTCTCTAGCTTACTGTACTGTAAGAATACAGTTTATAATATATGTAATATGCAAAATATGTGTTAATCTACTGTTTATGTTATAGGTAAGGCTTCTGGTCAACTGTAGGCTATTAGTAAAGGTTTTGGAGAGTCAGAAGTTATGTTATATGTAGATTTTTAGACTTTTGCGGGGAGGGGGGGGATTGTTGGGGACCCTACCTCCACCCGCCCTCGAATTGTTCAAAGGTCAACTGCAGTAGATGACCATTACCATTCTGGGCCAGAAGCTACTCTAATGCAGATAAAGTGGTTGGTTACCTTCTCCAAGTGCAGTCGAGACAGAAGCACTGGGCTGTTTGACTGAGGGCTCTTGTTGTAGGACGGGCAGTACTTGTCAGGGTCTCTCCATTCCGGGAGCCGCTGCTGGCCCTGCCGATCCTGATAGGCGCAGGCTCTGGTGAGAACATCTCTAGGTAAATGGCAGGACGTTCGCCCACACATTCTTCAACGCTGCCTCTCACCACCTTTGGGTTACAAAACATTAGGAGGAGGTCTGAGCCACGAGCTCCTTCCTCTCTTTGTCCTCACTACTTTTCCTTCTCTCCCTTCTTGGGATTAATTAGGGCCTCACATCAGCGAGCAGCCGGCTCGCCTCAGTGATGAGGTAAGGGTGCCAGCCCTCGGCAGTATCCAACTCAGCCTCTTCCCCGTCCGCGGCTCCGCGGCTCCCCAGTACCGGGGACCCCCAGGCCACACCCAGTCCCCGGCACCAAGTCTCGTCGTCGAGGTGGCCCCAAGGCCACCTGTTGGCGCGACCTGGCCCCTCCGCGCCAGGGCTAGGGTCCCGCCGCACGCCCCCTCC